TTGTATGTTGCAGAAAGTTTTACCTATTAATGGAAATCTATATATGGTACAGAGATATAATGATTCAAAAAATAGAACACTAATAAGATCATCTTGAGTTTTAATGGGTGCAAAGAGTTGCCTAAATCAACTATGTACCAAATTAAATAAATTTTAAAATTTTAACAAAAAATAATAATTAAAGCTGAAGATGATAACATGTGCATTAGTTAAAATAGTTACCCGAAAGAAAATTGAAGGAAAAACAAAAAACTAACAAAACATGAAGCAGAAGGCACAAAAACAGAGCTGAAAAAGAGAAAGATTGAGTTGTATGTATTGAACACGCTAAAAAACAGGATATTTATAGTTACATGGTAGGAGGATTTAGGGATTCAACATTGAAAAGTAAAGAATTAGGGTTAATTAACAAATCGAAAGTAAAAAACATATCACATATCATTAATGGCAAATTATGGTTCAGAGATATATTGATTCAAAAAATAGAGCACTAATAAGATCATCTGGAATTTTAATGGGTGTAAAAGAGATGCTTAAATACAACTACGTATCAAATTAAATAAAATTATAACACAAAATAACAATAAAAGCTGAAGAAGATAAAGTGTGTATTAGTTAAAATAGTTACCCGAAAGAAAATTGAAGGAAAAACAAAAAACTAACAAAACATGAAGAAGGAAGCACAAAAACAGGGATGAAAAGAAAAGTCTTAGGCAGGACGCTTCGTATAATATAATATATCCATCTATCCACTTTTACGATCTATTCTAAGTTCTTAACAGAAAGGGTTATTTGTTGCTCTACTTTCAAAAGAATCATTTGACAACCAATGGTTAAAGCACAAAAATGTTTCCTATGATGAACAAAGAAAAAGAGAAAGATTGAGTTGTATGTATTGAACATGCTAAAAAACAGGAGATTTATAATTATATGGTAGAAGGATTTAAGGATTCAGCATAGAAAAGTAAAGAATTAGGGTTAATTAACAAATCGAAAGATAAAAAAAATCAGTCATTCAACTATCCAAGAACACATTATATGATGAAATTGAATTATATTAGCATATTAACCAAGTATCCGGCAACATGATGCATTGATGCAATGAAATAGGGTCTCCTTCTTTAATAATAGAGGGAAGGATTGTGGAGAGGAAAATCGGGTCTACTTTGTAGAAGGAGAAAAAATGAACAGAGAATGAAATCTGGGGTAGTGTATCCGAAAAGAATCGAAGGAATAACAGCGGCCATCATAGCAGTCGGAGTAAGATTGGTTAATTTACACACCTACTCCCTCCGTCCCCCTAAGTTTGTCCCGTTTTACCTTTTTCGCCCGTCCCATTAAGTTTGTCTCATACCATATTTGGTAGTATTTGAGTGGTTAGAATTCATCTTTACTTTATTTACACCTTATCTATTCAATACCAACCACACAATTCTACTTTTTCTTAAAAACCACACCACACCCCTTTGTCCCAAACTTAGGGGGACGGAGGTAGTAGTATTTTATCCATCTGGTTGAGATCTGGTCGAGAGAAATGCTCAATTCGTAAAAAAAAATACATAATGTATAAGAATAACTTACAGAGGAAAACCTTAACCTAGAAGAAGGGATTGAGATCATGATCCAGCGCCAAAGTACTCGAAGAAGCCTCAGCTTTTCAAGAATCCAAATCTAACTGACTGAAGAAGAAGAAGATTAGTTAGTCGGAAGAATCCCTAATGAAAACTTGAATAAACTCTAAAACTTAAAGAAGCTTTAGAGTTTAGAGAGGAATCGGGATAAGTAGGAGTTTAAGAAAGAGATAATTACCCTAGGTATGACTAAAACTCCATCAATTTCTCAATCTATGACCTTAATACTTTATTTCCCAAAATAATAGTTAAATTCATCCTAATTAATTAATATAATAATAAATCAATAAATAAATATTTTTTATGGACCATTATGCCCTTAAATTGTTATTATAAAACCCTAACTAATATCCTACTCATTTTCTCAAACCTAGCCAATGATCGCTAGCCACTAGTCTGCCCCCGCACTGCCGCCCAACTGCCTAGCCGCCGCCGCCCTCTGCAACTCCCTATCATCGATTTCAGCCTTCATCTTGGTCTGCATGCAGTTTCGTAGGTCGATTAGGAACAATTTGGGTGAAGATCGACACACATGGGAGGTCTGATTAGCCCACTCTATTGATCCCTATTGTCTTCAAATTTTTTTGCCTCCGGCGAAGCAAGATGAACGATGGAACATCTCCAACTTTACCCAATGTTATTTTGGCAAAGGATAAGGTATAAATGGTGTGGAATGACGGATTGGTTGCTCAAATAGGTGGGGATAAGGTAGCATTTGATTTAATTAATTTAATTTGTTGAGTAGGTAGTGGACCTCTCTAACAATCATAATTTTTATTCTTTTTCTTCTGTTGGAAATTAGTGTTTGTGAATCTTCTTTTTCTATTTCTCGAAATTAGGGTTTGTGGGGCATTCAACATGTGCAGTGAACATGACAACAAAAAGTGTTGAATATTGGCAATGAATGTATCAATATATATTGTTGAATATGAGTAGTAAGCATGAGAATAAATAGTGTTGTACATGGACTGTGAATGAATGCATTGATGAAGTGTATTGTGCAGTGATTCGAAAACAATAAATATTGTTACAAAATTGGCGATAAGTGCAGTGATTATGACGTATAATGCGGTAATGCATAGCAATAATGCCGCCATGAAATGCAATACATTTGATGGGACGTGAAATACTAAAATTAATAATTCTAACAAAAATATAAAAAGAACTCTAAATAAATTTCTAAAGTGGATGAAAATAGAATTAATGTTGGCGAAAGTGCAGTGAAATGTTACCAGATGTGCATTAATGTTGTGCAGTAATGTCGTGCAGTAACTGCGGTATAAAGTGCAATATTTTAATTGAACGGAAATGGTGTAAAATGAACATATTTTAAATAAGGGTATTTTTTTAATTCAACATTTAAATATGAACGATAATTTCTTTTTTTTTAGATTTTCGGTCATACAAAACTTCAAAAACTAGTTAAGTCATACAAAACTAAAACTCATTGAGTTTTAGTCGTATCCTAGGAAATTTCCCTTTAAGAAAATACCCTAAAACTTTAGGCGGGAGAATGACTTAGGGGCCGTTTGGAGTCATCAAATTGGGCTTATAAGCCTTAAAATACAAAAATACAGCCAAACACATGTGAATTGGGTTGTTTGGGCTGATTTTTCTTATCAGCCAGAAAAGCAACCCTATCGTTCCTTTTTCCGCTGAAACTCATTAATTTACCGTTGAAAGACAGATATACTCATTTGCCCTTCTACTATGCCCATTCATACATCGCTGCGTCGAAGACCATTCCAGATCTGCTGCGTCTAGTTTCATCTGCTCTACTAGCTCGGCTTCTTCATATTCGTCAAGTCAAGGTAAGTCGCCCCGCTCTTCTTCTTCTTCTTCAATTGTTCGCAGAATCGCATGCCCACCATGGTAGAGTTAAATTTTGCGCTCTTCTTCAATTTTTTTCATATTGTTCTTCAATTTGTTCTCGAAATGTTCCTCAAATTGTTCTTCTAATTGTTCGCAGACATAACAGAAAGATTAGCAACTTCTTCTTCATGAATCATTTTTCAATTTTTTGATTTTTATCTAACCTATGCTACATATTTCATAAAACGTAAAATGAAGAAAAGTAGAAGCAGAAGAACTATCTATTTTCATAACCGTATTTGTTTATTTGGTTTCTTAGAGTCTCATCTCTTCAAACTAAACCTACTGGAATTTATTATTGTAAGAGTCCTACTGGGAGATTTTTTTTTCAATTAACAAAGGCCATGGGTGTGTGAATTACTGAATTTTTAGTGAAATTAAAGATGATGTAACTATATTTGAAGTTAGAATGGGAGAAAAAGTAAGGTTTTATATATTTTCAACATGATATATGATCAAGTATTAATAAACTTATCAAAAAAAGAATACATAGCAAGTAACAAAAAACGGAAGAAGCATGAATTTGATAACTCCTGATACATTTTGAATTTGATAACTCTATTAACTCAATTAGCTTTAATTTCATAACTTCATTAACCTTATCAAATATGCCTCTATAGCACACTAAATGATAGATTTTGAGGCAACAGGGGTAATTTATAATTTTTTTCTGAGAAAAAAATCCCTTCACATCTTTAGTTTTCTTTTTTAGAGAGGAGGGAAGGATGGATAGAGGGATGATTATCAATCTATACACTGAAGCTTCAACACCATGTTTATGTTCACTTTCCTTTCATTTTGGTGTTAACATGAAATTTCACATATAGGTTAATAATGACTTGTAAGTGGGAGGGGGTGACTTCAATTGAAAGTTTTGCATCAAAGTTATTTCTCTTTAAGAAGTGTTTTTAAAAATTTCTAGTTCTGGTAATGGGAGATTGAGTTAATGGTAGAGATCTTAGCTTGCCTCTAATCTCCCGGACCCAAAGGCCACAACCCATATTTATTTCTTATTTATTTAAAAAAGTGTACCCTTCTTTGTTGTACTTTTTTGTAGATTATGAAGTGTAATGTTGAAAAGGAAGTGTGTTTTATGTGACAATGGTAGCAGTGCAGCAGAAAAATCAAAACGTTCTCACAGTTGGCCGCTTCTTCATTTGAGAGTTGTTTCTTCTTTCTGCCCGTCTTTCAGCGAGGTAATTTTTCAAACATTAATTAGTTAAAGTGTTATATATTTTCACGTGGGGTATATGATAGCACTTATCTTTAATCATTGTAGCTCATATGATATATCCTAAACACTATTTCATTTGACATTAATATGTCCATTAGATGAGTAGCAACATACCTGACATAACAGACTCATATCAATCACATGAGTCTCGACGTGCAAATTGGTCAGATCGTGAGGTTATTAGTTTTCTTGAGGTTTGTTCAAAGGACTCATTGCAAGTGCATCGCAAAAATCAATCATTTAGTAGTGAGGGCTGGAAACTAGTTGAAAAAGAAATGTCCAAAATGAGCTTGCCTTACTCTATCAAGCAACTCCAAAACAAGTTTAACTTGTTGGCTCGCCAATATAGCACATGGGACAAGTTAGTTCGCAAGAAGACTGGTATAGGGTGGAATCCAGAAACAAATACTTTTGCGGCGGATGCTGAATGGTGGAGTCGAAAGGCAATGGTAAATTGGTCAATACAAATCTATGATTTTGTTAGATATTGTAATGTATGTTATTACATTTGGTTGAGGGAGATTAAAATTGTATTGTTATTTGTGTTGTTTATATGTAGGAAAATAAAAAAATTGCAAAATTTAAAAATGTTGGTCTTGATATGAACATGTGGAACTTGTTGTGGTTGACATTCCGTGGAAATGCAGCTAAAGGACAACATGCATGTTCTGCAACTAATATTTTGGAGGAAGAAGTTGATGCTTACATACCAGAACAAGCAACACATAACATTCCCGAAGTGGGACTGCTTAGTGAGACTGATTTCTTTGCTTATTTAAATAATATTAAGGAGACTGGATTCCTCGATGAGGTCTCATGTGAGCCAGCTGGGATGTCATTAGATGCGACTGACAGTAGTGGTAAGAGGAAGCACGTTGTTGGACCTGGAGAAAGTGCTACCAGTGGTTCTGTAGCTAAGAAGGGAAAGATGAGTGGTAAAGGTAAAGGAAAGGAGAAAGTTGCTCAATTGGAATCGGAATTACAAGGGCTTCAGAAAATGTATGAAAGAAGGAATGCATTGTTACAACAGCATTTTGAGAGAGAACACGAGTTTGGTCTGTCTGAGGTGATGAATGTGTTTAGGACCTTACCGGGTGTGGTTGAGGGAGATGAATTTTGGTTCAAAACATCAATGGTTATGAAAGAAAAAGGAAACCGAGAAATGTTCATGATCCAAACTACACCCGAGAATAAGCTCAAATGTGTGCAAATGCTTGTGAATCACATGTGCTAATTACTTAGTAATCTCTAAGTATCACGTTATCGAGGATATTAGTTATTTGTATTTCCCTTATTATTCTAGACAATTTATTTATTGATGAAGTTAGTACTTTTATTTCATTTCATTAATTTTCAAGTTTGTAATGTAAGACATGAGTTTGTTATGGTACATTGTTTTAATTTGAAGTTATTTTATTGTTAACATGATAATTTATTTTTTCTTATAGATATTCAACGTATTGCTATGGAAAATACTCTGTTTGAAGCATGTTTCTTGGTAGATGAGGTGGAAGATGAGCTATGGAATGGTATGATAAAGTCTATGACTACTCAAGTTAGGTCTTATATTTCTCGTGTTAATAGGCAACCATGCTTTAACTCATCCCACACAGGAATGGTATGGTTGAATGAGATTTTTAAAGGTCATGAAAAACTATGTATCAATGCGTTTCGAATGAAACCATCCATGTTGAATGCGTTAGTAGAAATAATGACTATTAAATATAGGCTAAAAGGATCAATGTATATGACCATTGTTGAAAGGTTTTGCTTAAGTATATATATCATGGCTCATGGGCATTCAAATAGAGAACTCCAAGAAAGATTCCAGCACTCGGGTGAAACTATATGTCGAATATTTGGAATTGTGTTGGATTGTTTGATGACGTTTTCTAAGGATATGATTGCACCCGTTGACCCCACTTTTGAGAGTGTAGCACCTGATGAAAGATATTTACCGCATTTCAAGGTAATTAACTACCTATTATACTTGTCATTATACTTAATGAACACACTGTTGAAGTGAAAATTGCTATTGAATTTAGGATTGTATTGGAGCTATCGATGGTACTCATGTTCCAGCGGTTATATTTGAAGAAAAAAAGATATGTGCTACAATCGTAAAGGATTTATTAGCCAAAACATCATGGCAGCTTGTAGCTTTGATCTTCAATTTACATTTGCCGTTCCGGGATGGGAAGGATCAGCTCATGATGCTAGAATACTACGAGAGACACTGGAGAATCCTAGTTTGGGATTTCCCTATCCCCCACTTGGTATGTTTTAAATTTGTGTGTCACTTTGCCAAAAAAAAGATTGTGTTTCATGATATAACTTTTTAGTAGGGCTAATTATTCAATTTTTATTTAATTAGGTAAATACTACTACGGTATTTGGTAGATGTGGAATACTCGATTCAAGAAGGTTTTTTGCCGCCACACCGTAATACGAGATACCATCCATCTTCTTTCAATGGAGAGAGACCAAACTCGGGAAAAGAATTCTTCAACAAAAAGCATTCATCGTTGCGTTGTTGCATTGAGCGAACATTTGGTGTATGGAAGGCAAGGTGGCGTATCCTTAGATTCATGCCTTCTTATCCTTTTAAGGTGCAGGTCAAAATAATCTTAGCTACCATGGCACTACATAATTTCATCCATCGATATTGTAATGACGATCCCGCTTTTCTTTGTTTTGAGACAAACCTTGATTTTGTTCCTCAAGATCGCATTACTCCACCAACACAAGAATCCAACGAAAGGTCTTCAAATGAGGTTCGCGGTCTAAGCTCTGCACGTATGATTGCATTACGAGATGAAATTACCGAAAATTTGGGGCGTAATATGAGGCAACGTCGTTGATAGTGTATGACGATTGCATGTGTTCTATTATATATTTCCTTTGCTGAACGTATTTTCAGACATAAAAATTTGCGATGTAATAACGTTAGTACTTTTTATGTAGTTTGTGTATCATTTATTTTTTAAATGAACTCCAATGAATACTTATGTGTATTTTATGTTTCATTTTTATTTTAATTTAAATGCATGTGAGCTTGTTAATATACTTCATAGAAAGTATATTTTTTAAAATTAATTTACTCATATTAGTCATAAAAAATAATACTAATGTTGCTCATTCGAAAATACGTATTAATTGAAAAGTACTTGTATAAACAATATAAAATTTGACAAAAGAGTAAGAAAATTTTCAAAGTAATCAATTAATTAATACTTCGTAATTACCTAATCAAGCAAAAATATGTTTACTACTAAAGTGCACACCATATATTTAATACAAATAAGCAAATACTCAGTCTTTTCAGTCAACATATTACCAAACACTTTCACTTCAACATATTCAGTCTTTTCAGGCTTTTCAGCCCAAACAGCTAGTGCAGCTGGTTCCAAACGGCCCCTTAGTTGAGTTAATTAAGTATAGATAGATTCACCTACAGAAACCCTGGTCAGCGGCTCCATTCTATTTCACCGTATAACTATTCCCTTAGTTACAAGCTTTTCTCTTCGAAAATTGTTCCCTCTTTGAACCTTCCGACGAAGCATCCAGCCCTGCCGTCTGTTTTCAGCTTTAGACTGGTAAGTCTATATTGTTCATGCCTCTAATTTTGATTCTTCCTGAAAAGATTTTGATTTGTGAGAGTTTCACTACGTAACTATTGGCTGGGATGTCTAATAGTGAGTGATTTGAAATTTAACCCAAGTTTTTCTTAATTACATAAAACTTCTAGCTAAGGAGTTATTGTCAGATCGTACAAATTGTTTTAAATTTTACCCAAACCATGAGTTTCTTACGGAAGAAAAGTAATTGGCTACGTTGTTTTTATATGAATGGCTTGACGATCTGTTTAGAAAGAAGAAGAAGAAGAATTAGATTACTAAGCTACTCAATTTTCTACCGTATGGGTCATATTTTAATGTCTGATTTTAAATTTAAGTCAAGAGTTTAAGTTGCCCAATTGCCGAATTACTATCCTGCAAGCTCTTATCCATATGGTGAAAATGGATTTTACCTTTTAGTTTAAAGTTCATTTCATACATACGTATTGAAGTTATTAGTAGCAGCCTTAAGGAGCAGGAGTCTATTTCACTCTGTTCATTGTTTTCCTATTTCAGAAAATTAATTTCCTTTTACTCTTTAGTAAAAGCAAAATTTAGAGTTTAAGTCGAAGTAGATTTTATTAATAAATGATGAGAACCAGTATTCTTTCAAAACTTTATCCTTACAGATCCTTGAGAAAGAAAAATCATTTTGTTTAAAGAAACTTCCAGTAGAACAATATTAGTAAATGTTGGAATTTCTGAAAGTATAGAATGTTCTAATTAGATTATTACATGTAACTAAAGATTTAAGAAGGAGCTTACCGAGAGACGTTATCAAGGTGCCGCACTTAATTGAGTGATCTGAGTTCAGCTTCTACATGTAAGTCACCACCACCTATACATGATAGTTTTAAATAAAGTATGGAAGATTAGTGATAAGTCCGTATTTAAACACGCATTTGATGCGTGTTGGAGTTGGATTTTGATGGTTTTCCTAGCTTTAAGGTGTTACAAGTCTCAATTTTAGCTCAAGTTATGTTTACCAGGCGTTGGTTCGAGTTTGTGTCATTTGGAGTCAAAATAAGAAATTTAGAGTTCGACACCGGCGCTTGAGGAGAAATCGGGATGAGTTGAGAAGCATTTGAGATTGATTTGAGAGCTATGGAGGTCACCGGGAGGTCTACGATGAAGATTTGATAACAAAAGTGCTCTAGGATTGGCTTCGGGGTCAAAAGAAGATGAATGAAGCTTGAAAACGACGATCAGGATGACCTTCTGTCAATCGTTCAAGCATATCTCTTTGTATAAACATCTAATGTACACGATTCAAGTTCCATATGAAAGCTAACTTCAAGGGATACAAATGATATGAAGACACTTTTGCGAGAATTTGAGAGGAAAAAGGTGAAAACAGACGATGAAGTCAGATGATCTCTGCTGCGATTTCAGAAAGACACCTTCCACCGTCTTGATCATATCTCTTGATTGTATGATTCAAATCACATTCGGCAACTTGGGGTGGATATAGGACTTCATTATCTACAACTTTCATGAAGGAAGCATTGCCAAATTCGGAAGTTAAGTAGGCAAGATCTTGCCCTCAAAGTCAGGCACGATCGTGCGTGAAGAGAAAGCACTGCGGAGTTACTGCCAGCCAGACACGATCGTGCCTGGAGGGAGGCACGATCGTGCCTGCCCAAAATGCGCGTTTTTGCTCCGGAGGCACGATCGAAGGCACGATCGTGCCAGGCATCGTGCCTGCCTCCGAAAATCCCAATCCAGCTCAAATTTCACCCGATTTTTCTATTTAAACAGCCTGTAAACCCCGTTTTCAAGGGGGAGCTTAGAGAGAGTGCCTAGCACGAATTTTAGAGGGCTTTTGAGCCTTGTTCATCAATCTTTTGGGATTCTTTGTAAGTTCCACCTTTTTAATTAATGACAATTAATTCTTTTTATTCCAATTCTATTGATTCTTCAATTATGAATTGTGAGTAGTTTTAATTAGAGATTTGGGGTTGATGAAGGGGTTGATCATGATGTATGGCTAGACTCCTTTCGGTTTAATTGCATGAATGTTGTTTAATTTGTGTTTGAATAATTTAACTGATATCTCTTGTAACCTAGAACAGCCGCTAGAATTACAATTGCTTGTAGAATAAATTAAGAGAGATCTAATTTATTCTAGGACACATTCACACACACTTAATCGTTCGCTAAGAGATTAGTATCTATTAAGGGGCCGTAAGCTCGCTCGTCTTGCCAATAATTTAGGATCCTGTCGCATGAGAGATCAGCCTGGTCCCCTAATTTATTGTACTCTACGCCGTGAGAGCGATAAGAACTTAGTAATGAATAGTTAGGCTCAATTAAATCAATTTCATGTAATTAGCCTGATCTGCCAGAAATCTGGTTACCCCGGAATCAATCCCTATTCCCTTCGTCATTAATTAGAAAGAACCCCCTAGTTTAATCGTTTTATTCGCATTTTTATTTTCCAGCAACCAATCTCGCACAACGCATTTTTATTTATTTCTTTTTAATCGCTGAATTTAGTTAATCTTTGATTCCCTTTTGTCCGTCCCTGTGGAGACGATACTCGTACTTACACCACTATATTACGATCTATTTTTAGTGCGAGAAAACTCACATCAATTAGCTAATTGTGAATATGATATATGTGCTTGGATTCTTGAAGTTGTATGATATGAGATATGTGAATTTCAAGTTCTATGTTTGATTTGGGGCTGGGTTCATATGGAACCAACAATGGAAGGAAGTTATGATAATAATGAAAGTAATGAAAGATAAGTAATGTTACAAGGTAGTCGTGCCCCTAAGTAACTACCTGAGCTGAGCGTAGCGGGATCTCCTTTTGCGGGGAGTCCCGGGGTTGCTTCTGATGGCCGAGGGCTAGCTACCCGAGGTCATTAGCGAGGGGCCAAGACACGAGCTATGGGTCCATCAAGTCAAGGAATAAGATAAGAGGAAAGAATGACGAATAAGGAAATCTCTTGGTGTTTGACACATGAATGCTTATGTGTTGTTATCATGTGTGATTATAGTCTATGTGTAGTGTATTCGGCATGGGTATCTATTTATGATTAGCTAAGATTCCCTAAATGTTTTAGTGGATAAAATGGTGACTTACTAAGCATTATTGCTTACGAGAATTCTATTCTCCTATATTCTCATGTATAGGTAATAAACGAAGTACAGAAGCCTGAGAGAATGTATGGAGCCGGTGACAAGGTCTTGGATGGGTTAACGGAGAAGATCGGGCTATCAGTTATATTGTTGTTTTAGTACATTGGTACTTCAAAGGGTTGTTAAACATTTTAAAATCTTGATCAGGTTTACCGGTTTTATAGGTGTTTTCTTTTGGATGTTTTTCGTTATGGTTGCAAGTTATGATTTTTTTAAAACAAATAGAGTCTCAGCTCGAGGCTTTGTATCTTAATTTCCGCTTGATTTATCGAGTCCCTTTTATGTTTGAGTATCATAATGGCGTTTTGGGGACGTTCTTTACAACAACACATACAGTATCTTACTATTTACAGTAAGATACTCACGTGCACATTATAACAAACACTTGCACACATTACATCAATACTCACTGCTTTTGAATTAAACACACAACACTCTCCCTTAATTCAAAAACTCTTACTCATCAAACTGGAGCTTAAACTCCAAGATCTTCTCTAAACTTCCTGAATTTATCAATTTGCAATGGTTTTGTCAAAATGTCAAATATCTGTTCTTCACTACTGCAGTAGATAAGAATCAGTTTTTCTTCATTTACTTTGCCCCTCAACCAATGATATCTGGTCTCTATGTGCTTACTTTTCCCATGTGATACCAGATTTTGTGCAAGGTTGATAGCAGACTTGTTATCAACTAGTAGTTGAAACACCTCCTGCCTTACACCAAGAATTTCACCCAATAAAACACTTGTCCAAACTCCTTGGCATGTTGCATAGGTTATTGCTACATATTCAGCCTCACAAGTGGATAATGACACTTATGTGGATAATCTAGAAGAAGAAGCATGTATGATCCTAACAACATCATGAATTGCAAAAATAGAGACATTCATTCCCTTTAACATTTCATCAACTATTAAGTTAACTATATGAGCACTATAATCTTAAGTGTATAAATTTAGCATCAAGAGCATACATTTTCTAGCCATTTATGATTTTTATGAGTTTTACAATGACATCATTAGCTCAAACATTATCAATGAAGATTGTTATATCCTTTAGTATTATCATCAACATATCAAACTCATCAAGATGCACTCCTCCACAATCTTCTCCGAGAAAGACACCTCCACCTAAACCAAATAATTTTCCTTAGCCTCCATCGAGTTCATTTGAGACTTCTACAGAGTTGCAAACCTTTCTACAACAAGAGAACATTAAAACATACTCCGTACATGATAGAGAGACTCTCTATTGTT